TTCACAACGTCCTGGACAACTTCCTCTACAGGAGGAGCATCACCGTTGACTTGGCTGGAGTCACCCACAGAGTCCTCCTCTGTCGCATGTTCCTTCGCTTCTTCAACGTCATTAGCTGCTTCTGCAACAAGTTCCCCCTCTGTCGCAACTTTCTTCACTTGTTCAATGTCGCTGGCTCCTGCAACAAGTTCCCCCTCTGTCGCATCTTTCTTCGCTTCTTCAACGTCGCCGGCTGCTTCTGCAACAGCCTCCTCCTCTGTCGCATATTTCTTCGCTTCGTCAACGTCGCCGGCTCCTGCAACAAGTTCCCCCTCTGTCGCATCTTTCTTCGCTTCTTCAACGTCGCCGGCTCCTGCAACAAGTTCCCCCTCTGTCGCATCTTTCTTCACTTGTTCAACGTCGTTAGCTACTTCTGGAACAGCCTCCCCCTCTGTCGCATCTTTCTTCCCTTCCTCAACGTCGTCGGGTACTTCTGCAACAGCCTCCCCCTCTGTCGCATCTTTCTTCCCTTCCTCAACGTCGTCGGGTACTTCTGCAACAGCCTCCCCCTCTGTCGCATCTTTCTTCCCTTCCTCAACGTCGTTGGGTACTTCTGCAACAGCCTCCCCCTCTGTCGCATATTTCTTCACTTGTTCAACGTCGTCGGCTTCTTTTGCAACGAGTCCCCCCTCTGTCGCATCTTTCTTCGCTTCTTCAACGTCGTTAGCTGCTTCTGCAACAGCCTCCCCCTCTGTCGCATGTTCAGGTACCTCGTCATGTTCAGGTAGTTCGGTGGTTTCCATGGCGTCATCGGCAATAGGTACTTGGTCTTCCACGACTGGCGCGTCGCTCGACTTCTCCACTTCCTCAGAGGTAACGACGGCGGCCACTTCCACAGGCGCAATCACTGGGTTGCCTTCTTCACCCATCGACGAGTTCTCACCTTCCTTTGCGTCGGCTTCTGGAGCAGATTGATCGTTGGTCTGTTCGCCACTAATGGACTCATAAGCGTCCGCGTGGTCGGGAGTAGGGGTCGACACTGCGCCCGCGGATTCGTCGATGGGTTCCGACTGGTTGGCGGTGTCGTCAAGCTGGTGTCCTGCAAACTCGGACGATGTCTCGGGTTCGTTGCTGGCCACGGCTTCCTCGACACCCATGGAATCGTCCGCCGTGCTTTCTTCCTGCGCCGAAGGTTTGATTGGGGAGGTAGGAACGTCCGCCGCGGTTTCGTTCTTCACCGCGGGGTTGACTGGGGAGGTAGGAACGACGGCCGGCGCGACGGGGGACGCGGCGTGAGGAGAGACAGCGATGGGATCGGGGATAGTCAATGGAACGGCAATGTTCCCCGAGGCCGCGAACGGTTGCTGTTGTTGTTGTTGCGGGATGTGGATGGGCGGGACTTGCTGCACCGGTGGAGGTCGGGGCGCCGACTTTACGGGCGGTTCCGTGCTTTCGTCAGCCCACTTGGCCAACGTCATGAGGTTTCGATTGAGTTTCTTCCGCTTCTTGTCCAATTTGTCCTGAACGTCGGCCAGCTGCGCCCCCCGCTCGTGCTTGACGGCGTTGTTCAGTTGGATGATCTCCACAATCATGGACGAGTTCTCGTCCAACATGCTCTGCCCTCGTCCGATGAGAGATGATCAATACTCACATGTCAGATGGACGATTCCTTCACGTACCTGGATATTCTCCGTGGAAATGTACTTGTGTTCAACCTCCATCGTTGCTGCTGTTGTTCGCTCTAATGGCCTCCGCGGCACTCACGTGTGTTGGTGAAGCAGGACTGCCGGCGTTCCACGTCGCTGATAGGCCCAAATGGGAAAATAAATACGAATCATTCATTTGATTTAAGTATGCCTGACTCAAATTTAAAAGTAGAATAACTATGTTAAGACATGGGATGATTGGTCAAAACTGTTTATTTACTGCTTTCAACCACTTTTACTAACTTACGCTGTGTTTTACTGTTTAAGTAAAATACAACTTATTATACTACGAAAAAGATCGTCAGCTGTGAGATTCGAACTCACGCGGGTTGCCCCATTAACTTAGCAGGCTAACGCCTTAACCACTCGGCCAAGCTGACTTCATGCTTCTTACAATAAACTTTTTTGATTTCATACACTCGTATTTTTTATCCGCATCGGATTTTACCGTAAGCTGTCGAACCAACGACAATCAAATATATTGTTGGGGCAACATAATGCTCGATGCTGGCCATAATCGAATTTCGTCATGATATGTCGAATGCTTTGGATTTGGCTTTGGTTCGGCTGTGCCGTGGTGAACCTTGTTGGTGCTGCAGACGCGCTGAACCTTGTCACCGACGAGCTGGCTGTTCTGCAAGATATTCGTCGACGATGCAACCCCCTGCCGTCGTCGGCGATCATGGCGACGTGGTGTATTGGCGCCCCCCAGCAAAACGGCAAATGTCGCCCGAACGTAGTGACCCATCCCTGCACTGGGCGAGTTCTCAGCAATCCAAGCAACACCGACAACTACGCGTTGGAATCAGCAGAGTTCATTGTGCCGTGGTGGGGGGTGGTTTGCGACCCTTCAACGTTTCCCGTGGCGGTTGTTGAGCTTACTCTGCCCCATCAAGGCCTCACCTGCGTCTTGGAATCGCTCAACTTTACAGTGTTCTCAAACCTTGTGACCCTCAACTTGGAGGGTAATGCGTTCACGGGACCAGTGCCAGACTGGGTAGGCACGATGACCTCGTTAGAAGTACTCAATGTGAACGGCAACCAGTTGAGTGGCCCTTTACCCGAGTCCATCATCGACAACGTCAAGCTGGAAGAGCTTAGTCTCGCCCAGAACCAACTCACGGGACCAGTGCCTAATATGCTCAAAGTGTTGCCCGTCGCAGTCCTCGACCTCTTTAGCAATCAGTTAACGGGCACACTTCCTGTCGATGTACTACGCAACCCCCGCCTGCGATACCTGGATTTGTCCGAAAACGACCTTTTTGGCTTGCTTCCGCTCAGCATTCACCTTCCTCGGATCATGTACTTTGACGTGTCATTCAACCGACTCAGTGGACCGCTACCCCCCAATCTACAGCTCTTGGGGCGCGACGACACTGTACCGCAGTCTTCGTCAGTACTCACGCTGTTTGATGCGTCGAACAACCTCTTGGAAAGTGCCATCCCTGGCCTGATTGGAAAACTGGAGCGCCTTTCGACATTTTCGGTGCGCAACAACTCGAACATTTTTGGCAAAGTCCCCCCCCTGCCGCCCTCGCTCTTGGAGAACTTTGACCCTACGACGTTTGACGGCCCGACCCACCACCTCGCCTGCCCCCTGCCAGAACTCGGCCCTTCTCAGACATGGGGCCCCGTCGTTTGTTTGTGCAAAGGGGCGAAAGCGGACCCTGACACGTGCGCGGCTTGCGCGGCTGGATTTGTTCTCGGGGCGACTTCCAATATATGTGAGGGATGCCCACCTGGCAGTTCCCCTCAAGGGGACATTTGCAGTCTTTGTCCAGAAGGCACATTTGCAAACGATATTGGGTCCCCTGCCTGCCAACCATGTCCTGACGGGTTTACGTCGTCGTCGGGGGCATCTGCTTGTGATCCATGCCCAGCGGGAACGTCCACCTCCGACGAAGGCACGTGTTTGGCTTGTCCATCGGGAATGTTTTCCCCCACGGAGGGGAGCACATGTCTTCCCTGTCCAATCAATACATTCAGCGTCAACTCGGGTTCAATCGCTTGCACGCCATGCCCGTACAACGCCGTGGCGGATGCTAGTTCGACACAGTGTACTCAATGTCCTCCTCAAACCACCGTCGACTTCTTAGGGTCAGGGGGCTGCGTGCCACAACCTCGACCAGGTGCTGGTTACGTTGGCGTCGACGAGATTGCTGATTGTGTTGCGGGAACGTTCAATGACAGAACTTTCGCAAGGTGCCAACCGTGTGCTCGTGGTAGTTTTAGTGCTGAGGCCGGGGCCACCAACTGCTCATTGTGTTTCTTGGGGTCTTTTGCCAATAGCACCAACGCAAGTCGCTGTACTGACGCTCCACCGGGGACGTTTGTCGCCACTCGAGGCGCTACACGGTCGAATCTGTGTGCGCCTGGATACTTCAACGATGTCGCAGGTGCTAGCCGCTGTGTTCGGTGTTCCAACCACACGATGGCCCCCCGCATGGGCATGTCTGCCTGCGTGATGGCCCCACCAGGATTTGTCCTTGAGATTGCAACATGGCCCAGCTTCCTCCTAACTCTTTATCAGCACCAGTCTCGCTTTGATGCATTGAACGTGTCAAAGGCTACCGAGATTGTCCAGGAAGCGTGGCTCTTTGTGGCGCCCGAACCAGTCAACGCGATGGTCGTCAGCTCGTTTGACAATAGATTAGTCGCATCGACGGACGGACAACTGTTTGGGGGGACGACAAGCGCGAGTCTGTACATGGTTTTGGACACGACCGCGTCGACGTTAGACCTGTTGCAATACATCCCGACCTACTTGGTCGTGCTGGATATGCTGCTGGACGAGGCCGCCATGCTCCTCAACACTGACATGACATCGACCCGCCTGGACGTGCTCAAGCCCCTGGCAGTCACTGTGGCGGTGGCATGTGACAAAGGGACGTACTCGAATGGTTCGCATTGTGTTGAATGCGGTGTTGGAACGTTCGCTGCCGGTTCAGGCGCGTCAAAGTGCCAAAAATGTCCTCGTGGAAGTCGTGCGTCGTCGACAGGCAATCACAAATGCACGCCCTGTGCGCGAGACGAGTATGCAGATAGCACCGCCACGATGTGTATCGAGTGTCCGACGTTTTCGATGGATCTGACATTGGTGTGTCCCCAAGCCATCGGTCGCTTGCTGTGGCTGCTCTTCTACATTTTCTACTACATTAACTTGGTCTGGATGAGCCATCTGTGGCTGTACAGCAATCCGACCCGAGTGCCCCCGTTGATGGAGTCGTACCGATCCAACGGTGGCCAAACTGTCAACACCGCGATCGTGTTTCCCCCCCCCATTCCTATTTCTGCCGCCACGCTACGGAACGACACTAGAATGCAAACACGAGACAAGTCTTGCATGGTGTAGACATGCATTTTCGTGTACAGAGAACTTTTTATGTTTGTTTGGTGGAAAGTTTCCATCATATCATCCATCGTCGTTTTCACACGATGCAATGGATTACAATTTGCAATTCACTGTTGATTTCGTGATTGGTTTGCTTGCATAGCCATGGTCGTTCAAGGATCTTACAATGGTGGCTAATGCACATAAAAAACGAAGTACTAGTAACTGGCCTTTGTGAAGAACTTCCCTTTAGCAGGCCCACTTAAAACACCCACTGACACGCAGTTCCCTTGTATTTGTCTCATGTTGAAATTGTCTCATTGTGACCGCCACCCATTCAATGCATCATATTGTGTTTACACTGCCAGCCTCATTACACTGGCCATGAATGTATTGATTAAGCACAGGACACACATCCATTCGATGGCTCGTCCATCGTCGGGTGGTCGGCCATAAACACACGTCGCCGAATGCACATGCGCACTGCCTCAGCGTCTTTCGGTGCAAACACTCCGGCCGTGGTGTAATTGGGCGAGGCGCTGCCTTCAAACTGCGAGATCTCCGTGTCCAGCATCAGCGTTGCCAAGGCCACTTTAAGAAACTCCACGGCAAAGAATTGACCTACTCAAGTCGTTGTCAAGCATGAGGATGCACTCCTGCAAGCTTTACTGTACCAGGGCAATTGAATTTGCCGAGCCCAAATGGACGAAAGTCCTTGGCGAGGTCTGGATAGCGGGCAAATCGATCGAATTGGAAGTCGTCTGGATTGTGAAACCGAGACGGATCATGGCAGCCCAGCCCCCCCCAAAGCATAATCTCATCCCCTGGTTGCATACGCAACTGGGTACCGTTGGGCAAGTCCACCGTCGCCTGCGCCACAGCTACGCGAAGTACGCTGCCCGAAAACCGAAGGCGCAATGTCTCTTTCACCGCCGAATCTAGCAGTGGACACCTACGACACCGTCAACGACTGCATATAGTTCAAATGTTCTAGCCGTACGTTGTTTGCACAGACTCGGACAGCGGGGTATCCCCTTTTTGCGCGCCAACACATGCCCGCACTTCGCCCTCGACGGCACTCCAAGCCACCGGATATTGCTGCAAATGACAAAGCAACCAGAACAGTGTCCGCACGACATTCGATGTCATGGCCCACACAAACGCGAGTTGGTATGCCGCTTGATCCACTTGTTTGTCACGACAAAAATCCCATCGTTCGCCCACAATCGGGGCCACTACATTGATCGTTAATCAGCAACACATACTCGTGCAAACTGACCTGTGTCTGTGTGTGCCTCAATGTACTCACGCAGCGCTTCATGCAACCGCTGGCGGGGCTCTGTGACTTTGAGCAATGTCGCGGGGGCTCCAGCATACAGTGCCACGATTTTGCTTTCAAGGAGGTCAAAATCATGGGCTAACTGGGGGGTGCACAGCCCCTTGCCGTAAAACGTATCGAGCAGGGTTGCAAACACCTTGGGCGCGAGCCATGCATACACGGACACGTCGAACTCGTCGCCGAAGCCTCCTTCCGCCACTTGGCGTTGAAACAAAGCGTGGCTCTTGGCCGTCCACTGGGCGAGTGACGTGCCGCTCAAGTGGGCAAGGATATTTTGTCGAGTATGTTTGGCCAAAAATGCAAACACGTCAGGGTCGTCGTGAGACGTCGAGCCGAACACGCGCTCGTAAAACTTGATTTTGAGCGGAAATAGCCCCAACGCCGGGCACTTGACCAACGGCGGAAACAGTGTCGCGTCTGTGACATACGTGATGGTTTTCCCCAGCACGGTCAAATTGAATACGGGGCCGTAAGTTACTGTGTACGCTTGCAATACGCGCATAGGACCGTGGCGAAAGTGAAAACTGGCGCCAAAAAATGGAATCCACGATGGCACGTACGGGAACGAGTTGGCCGGGCGACGGGCATTCACGTAGCGGTGGACGGCGAGCAGCATTACCGCGGCTACAACGGCTTGTACCAGAGAGGACAGGTCCAGCATGTGTGCGCTGTGATGGGGGGATGAGTTTTCTATTGTGTGGAGGAATCTGTTGTTTCGTGCGATTTGATTAAGGGTTTCGTATGCATGGGCAATCTCTTCCTGGAGAAGTAGGTCAGTCGTAGTTGCATGGTTGTCAAAATTTTGCAAGGTTGAACCTGCATTGTAGTTTAATCTGCACGGAATGTGAAGTAAGGCCAGCAGACGCTGGAAAAGCCATTTTCTGGCGAGATGTGTCACGGTATGAACTAACGTTACTCAAACTTTTAAGAAGGCCGTACACTAACTCGCGCTACCGTTGCAAGCAACAGTTTCATGCGATTCCACGCTTATTCCGCGGAGATTCTCTTATCCATATACTGTGCTAAACTGATATTATGCCACAATCGTAGAAAAGCAGCTACACTACTGTACCGCTGTAGCCTCGCATATTGTGGCTACCTTCTGAGCGTGCTCTTGTGGTTGGGTCTGATTTCTGCTTGACTACATACATAGGGACACTGCTTGAACTTGATCGAACGGGCAGCGCAACGACTAACCACTGTACCCATATAACGTTATAATGGGAGCCGACTCGTCCATTAAGGCTATATACGAGCGTGATTATTCGTGTCGAACAGAATGCGTATTCTCACCAATTGCTTGCTGAATTTGAGCTGCTTGCTTGCAAACAACCTCCGAAACTCATAGTGAAGTTGGTAACTTTGGGCAAAACGCGCAAAGAAGCACAATGGACATGTTGCAACATTTCCATACTTCAAAGTGCTTGCTATGTCGTCGTAACGCATTTCAAGTGATCGCGTTTTCCCACATGATCTAGATGTGAATGATCGTGTCGGGGGAGCGTCGAGACGTTGTATTTGTTCAGGCAGCATTGGTTTCGGAATTGCAGGGACATGTTTGTGTGCGAGCTAAAGTGGGGGCTCCGGTGCTGGAGGTGTTGGTATTTGCACTGGGAAGGGAACTTCTTCGGTGGTGGACTGCTTTTCCCTTCAACTATTTTCGTACACCCAACGTAGGGGGACGCAATGCCTTCGCTATTTGGCTAGTACAGATAGTGACAAGCTACAAACATTTCGTGGAGGTCCTGCTAGTGGCTTAATCATCACGAGAAGTTAGGACAATGTCGAGGACAATTTCAGCTACACAAAGCCACAGCCCCAGATGCATGAATGTACAAGTTGACAGTGTTGCCCACTTGCCCACCTAATCATTGTTACAGTACTTCATGAGGCCATTTCCACCCGATTCTGATTTTTAAGTGAGTGGAAGAACTTCCGTAACTTTAGCAAAGACGCAACATCGTGTCGTAGCTACTTGGTGATACGGCTGAAAGAACCTAAAGTGAGTGAGCAATGCAAGTCGATTCTGGACGGACAGGGACTTTCTGACATGTTGAGGTATTGAAGCGAGGGGATGTACCGGTACGGACATTATAACGTTAAGGGGCTACATACGTCAAAGACTCCAGGGGGAAATCATACTTTCAGTAGATTTGTACATAGTTGTGGGCGAGGCTTGAGTATTTTCGTTTTGACAACCATTCATTAAAGTATTTGAAGTATTATGAAACTATAGTTCATTTATAATAACTTTTACCAGGACATGGGCAAATGATGGCAACAGTTTGCCGTTCAATTTTGAGCACGTCGAGTCATTGCTGTGATAGCCAACAACCTCACCATCGCACATACAGAAGGTATTCATGTCCTACATATTCGGAAAGTGCGATCATAAGTGTACATTGCTAGGATGCATCAATGATAATCAGGGGCACTACGTATTTCTTTGGATTCCAACTTCCCCGTCCGTATCACAGGCTGATACTGTAGTCGTGCTCGCTTACGCCAACGCCACCTCAGCATGGCGACGTTTCAAAGGTGTTATTCTATCCTAATATCCGAACCTAACGACCAGGTAGGGCATATCATGGTTAAACATTCTAAATCAACATACATTTGTGTGTGGAATTGGTCGTGCTGGGTTTCACTCGAGGATACGACCAATTATTGTACACTATTTTGTCATGATTTATCAAGATTAATATATGTGACGCTGTCTGGCCTTTAGTACTCCTCTCGCACTCCTCCACCTAACAGACACTCTCTGCCTCAATCGCTTGCTTTTGCTTCGACAGTGAGCAAGTCTTCCATTATCGAAGTCGTTCGTGGTGGTATGTCGTCGTCCATAGCGCGTTCACCACCACCATTGCCTAAGCCGTCCTCGTTCTCAATGGTGTGCTCGAAGCCGCTCAAGCGGAAGCGTTCCTGTGGCGATGTCACCGACTGTGACCACCGCCCAATGACCAAAAAGGGCTTGACGGCCCACATGCACGCGAGTCTGGCGTTGCTGCAGCACCTTCCCGCACTAAACGTCCATCGGAGTTCACGACTAGCCCGTCGCGGCGCCGTAGATGTTGGCGATTGCATGATCCATGCATTGGGTTCTGTCCTCCAGTCCACAGCTCAGCTGTCCACGACGAATGTCACTACACAAGAAGCCACCACCACAACCTCAGTTGCTCCATGTTTGCCGAAAGAAGACAGCATCAGACAGCCGCATCCGGTCTCGTTCTCCACTTAGTCGTAGCGCAGCCCATACACTATAACATTTACAGTTTCAACCCCACAAACTGACCTATTTATTGTTTGTATTTGTTTAGCATGCAGAATATTCAGAGCCATGCCATCCAGACAAGCAAATTAGGTTGACGCCCTCGTGTATGTTAGTGCATCGTTGCGTGCATGTTTCGATAGCCTAGTGCACTTCCAATAGTTCGCTGAACTCGCTCCATGATGGTGCGGCGACTGTTGTTGCTTGATCACTGTAACTTTACGCATGTACATATGGATGTACGTATACCCCACAACTAGCAATGCTCTGCAAGGGATGGGGGCTGGGGGGTGAGCTCGACTTTAGTAAACGGGGCCATCGACCCAAGATAATAGAAAGTAGTTTCACACTGTTAGTGTCCTTGGATGCCTGCCCCAATCTATCAGCCCAAGCTTTGGCTGTGACGCATGCAAACTCACACTGTGCCCAACTTCACAAAATCGTTTTCATCACACATTTACATACGGTAACCGTTGCCATGTACTTGGAGCATGATTTTCGTATCGCACTGTCGCAATCGAAGTGGCCAGTAAACGAAGACGTCGTTGATGAATATGGACATGGGCCGTTGAAAGCTGGAATGCATCAGTCAATTTCGAATTGGCCAGGAATTAAGCGATGAAGTTATTTACTTGTTCGGATATTGGCGACGGGGGTGTCTTTATCATCGACATCGACGACCAGCAAAAAGTTGGCCACCTGAAGGATGCAATCAAGGCAAAGAATACCAGCAAAGTGACGTGCGACGCGAGCGATCTGACGCTGTATCTCGCCCAGAAGCACGGCGAGTGGCTCAAGGTGGACCTGATCGGACGGCGCTGAAGAAAAATAAGGGCGTTCCCGACGTCATCAAGAAAATCATGACAACAAATGAGAACAACATGGGTCCAACCTACCGCATTTGCATTTCCAGATACATACGATGCCGGGAAAGACCAAGTCCACGTGTTGGTGGAGGTTCCATCAACCCCCCCGTGAACTTCGTGTGGAGGGTCAAGCATTAAAGGTCAAGAATGAAGTTGAATCCCCTCAGCATCGATATCGTTTTGGAAAGCCCTCGTCGAGTACCGCTCCCCCGACGTGAACTCCAGCACTGTGGTTGCCTTATCAGAGGGAACATCACTACTGGGGAATCCGTCGCTCGGCTCCTGCGTGTTGCTTCGCCATTGCTACCTGCATCTGTTTGACCTAGATATCCACGACATGACCACCCCCCACGTCGTGATCGTTGGTAGCCTGGGCATCGGCAAGACCTTTTTCGGCTATTTGGTCTTGCTTCGATTGGCCAAAGCTGGAAAAACGGTAGTATATGAAAACGGAGTGACCAACACGCGAATTTTGTTCAGCCGTGATGGTACCGTGGTCGAAGGAGCCGGAGATGGCTTCTCAACCAGCCCTCAACCTACTACCTTGTAGACGATGCCAAGCCTGCCGCGGACGATATCGAGTCTACTTCGTACCACACCATGACGATCGAACAGTCGTCACCACAGAAACATTTCCTTTTGAATGGCATCTGCGTGTGAATGGCCGATTGCGCTGCATGCCCGTGTGGGACTTGGATGAGCTTTTGAAGTGTCGGGAGCTCATGTATTCAGCCATCACCCCATCAGTGGTGGCGGACTGCTTATTTCATTGGGGTGGCCTGCCACGCGATGTGCTGCAGTTGCCAACCACCAGGCCAAGCTGGAGCAAGCGTTGGAGGTTGTGACCCTGGACTACACGAAGCGAGCGATTTCCGAAATTAAGTGGAATGGGGACGAGTACCGCAGCGACTACTTCATTGCCGTATGGTCACTACGACGGCTTCGTCTTCGCATCGAAATACGTGCAAGAAGTGTACCGACGCCTGTGCGACAAGGACAAAAGGGGACCCTCCTTGATTTCATTTCCAATCCTCCAATTGAGCGCATGGGTAGTGCATTCAACTTATTTCGATTCTAAGGCATGAGCAGCCAACCAGCGTGGTGGTAGCCGTGTCAGCGTAAACGACCCTGCGATTTTGAGAGTTCTATTAATGGTTGAAAAGAGTTCTATTAATGGTTGAAAATATTTTTGAGTGTCGAAATGACGAATCACAGCAACGTGATACGTGCAGGTTTCTACTCGGTGGTGATAATACAAGTGCGTCGATGGGCACAAACTACACTTTTTACAATCAAATTAGCCTGTGCTTTCCCCCATCAGTCGAACGAAATACAGCGGGAAACATTAAACAAAGGTGTCCGTTGTTGATCATTATTATACGGAACCATAAAACTCGACTGAGATTGCACACTTAGACACGGGGCCACAAGGCAGACAGATAGATAGATGATATACATGATATAATACAGCAAGCGGGAACGGACATACTAGTATATACATGGTACCCCCTTCATCGCTATCTCTTCAAACTTATAAAATCGATCGAACGTTGCTTGTAACGTTAGTACAGTACATATATATATATACTAACATATATATATATATACTAACATATATATATATGTATATATAAAAAGGGCAAACTGTACTGTACAATGCCATTATTCTGGTTTATGAACACCTGCCTTCCCTCACAACCTCATCGAAGTATTTATTTATCTATTGATGCGTTGCTCTTAACAGGATGAATCCAACAATTGTATTATATATGATGATCAATCGTGGTACGGCGCATATGTGGTGGGGTGCAAAGTGCCGTTGGCGACCCCCTTGGCGTGGGCGTGGGTCACCTGAATATTTCCCAAGAACGTAGGCGGGTCCACCTCATTCGCCCACTCGCGGATGTCATCGGCGGACGTCGCCCAGTCATGCAACATGAGTGCCCGCTACTCATCGAGTTTATCGATGTATTTCGGAACGATTTCACGTACGAACTAACCTCCTGCACAGGATTGTACACAATGTGATGGCGGAACGTCAAGAGCGCTCGATAAAAGTCGGCGTCAAAGTTGTGCGGCAAAACATCGTCGTGGTGTTCGTGCAGGTAGTCTAGTACCTAGAAAACAGTGTCACATAAAGCACACGTCGCACGTGCACAAAAAACACAGCAACCCAAACCACTAGTATTGGACCATCCACCACGCCCTTTTCTATTTATTAAAAATATTTATGTGTTCTTACAGTTTTCATTTTAATGTACTATTAATAGTAGCATTCTTTTACACGGTGTATCTGATTTGACCAATTTAAATAATAATTGTGTAACCGTTTTACTACGTAAAACTCAAGGTTACAATATATAATGTTGTGCGAGTTTTTCATGCGACGTTTGAAACGTATTTCGACCATTACTCGAAAAGTAATGTGAATCAAGGTATTTCAATGGCAGAATCGAATTCACGGAGAAAAATTACATATGCCTACTGAATTTCATATATATTTTTCTAAGAATCTCAAATACAAGCACAAAAAGGGTCGTCGTGGATAGTCTCGACCACTATAAATTCATGGCTACTACGCCGTACCAATGACGGGAACGGACACGCCTTGGCGATTTTATACGCAGAGACAAACCCGACACCCGGCACTGTGGGGCAGTAGTCGCAGCCCGCTAGGACACATAATTGCAAAAACTAGCCAAATAAAAAGCACGTTAAGTTATTGGTTCCCAATGCAAACCATAGGTATCTAACGGTAGTAGTCTAGATCGAATATCTAATGGGGGTTGTGTTTATTGCCGAATATAACCAAATAAGACGAATTTAACCAATCAGATTGCAGGAAATCATCACCAATCAACAACTCAATAGCGTGGAAAGTGAAGTAGTATGTGGATTAGCTGTAATTCGTGTGATTGACATTGTTTTTAATCAACGATGGATTTGGCAAATGTCAGCACAAACGTCCAAATATATTGTTGTGTTTATTTTTCTAAACTGGAGCGACATGGAGAATAAACAATCGACACAACCAAATAATATAGAGAAGAATCTGCAGAAGAAGAATTGAGCCAATTAGATTGCAGGAAACCATCATCAACGTCAAATTAGTGTGTGACTTCAATTAGTGTGATACCAATCACCACAGGACAACTCGTTTACATACAAAATTCAGTACAAAGAATCGATCGATAGATTTGGCGTTTCAGCACAAAAGTCAGCCAAATTTTGGGTAAAAGGGCAACAATACCTGTAGCTCACTCCACCCGATGAATGAAAACGATTCGCATGCTCCAATGTGTCGCCTTCGGAACTCGACAGCTTGACCATGGTCGTTCATCTTGTACAGGATCTACAAATATATATAAATATATATTTAAAATCCTACGTAACGATCCAAAAATACGATATACATCATGAACGAAAAAACTAGAAAAGGGAGAGATTTGTTTATAAAAGAGTGCTATACCGTGGCACAACCGTACGGAATCAAGTCCGAGTCTTCTGAAATGACAATGTCCACGTAGTTGGTCAGCGACAGATGCGCCAACTCGGCGTCCGCTTCATATGGCGCCACGATGCACTCGATGGTTGGATGCACACGTAACAGCGTCCGTCGAAGTTTGCGCCCCATTGCTCCAGTGATCTTGAGGCTCCTCGCAAATGCCTTGCCGCTTTCCTGCATATGATCTCGGTGAGGAACTCTACGTGAGGAGGGAGGCGTACCACGAGGTCGTGCGTGGCATGCAAGTTGAGCCCTCGCATCATGTGCTTTTGACGGTCGTGCTCGCGCCGCGCGGACGTGGCGGCCTTGGTGGGCATGCCGGCCCCTTCGAACACCACCACCGGCGTGATGTTGTGCTTCAGAAGCAGTTCCAACCGACTGATGCAATACGATTCGTATGCCAACGTGTGCTCCAGGGTCATGACATCCACCTTGTTGGCGGCGTGGAGAGCCAACTCCGTCGCGGTCGCGGCCGCTCCGCTGTACATCCACACCGACACATCAATTCCAGCCCGCTTGCCGCCAAACCTACGACCACAAGGACGTGATAACCTTAGATTCAAGGAGGTCGTGCATGATTGACACCACCTGCTGACATGAGTCTCACACATGACGCTTCCAAGGTGCACCAAGAGACTGTCGATACCCATTGTACAAAACTGCTAACGTTAACGTTAGCATTTGACATGTGAACTCATATCCGGACAATTCGTACTTTATCCGGATTAGTATGGTGATCCTCGAGTAAGCTTACTGTTAACAGCACCGTATTATTAATATTAAGTACTACAATACACTTATTCTAGTATTAGTACTATTAATATTATTAATATTCGTTAATAATAGTAGTGGCTATTTAGTGGGATCCGGATAAGCATACTCAACCGCCAGATGAACGACGACGCGATTGATGCGGTCAGTGACTTGTCCGTGCATGCCCATGCGTTGCTGAAGGAAGCTGCTAAGTGGACCAGCGCCGTGTCTGTGACACTGAGCAAGTTGCGCTCGGCCTCTGCAAGTTCACGTCCGCAGCTGAGCCAAGACACGGAGGCCGCCGGCGGCAGATACCCCTCGTTGCAACTTGAGATAGCCCGATTGCGCGAGAAGGCCGCACAATCTACCGAGTCCATGCGCATGATGGAGGCACGCGCGGAACAAGCAGAAGCGAAAGCGCTCAAGCTGGAAAAGGCTCACCACAACTTGTCTGTCAAGTACATGCGGGTCAAGAACGAACGCAATGCGAGTATCCATCGGTTTTGGAACTGGGTCGGCTGCCACGTCAGTGTCGTTGGCCTTGAGTACGCGTTGCTGCTGACCCAAGCATGGGGCTACGAGTGTGGTTGGGACAGTAGCAACCGAACCAGCAACTCAAACTTGCAAGATGGGAATGAAGAACAGTGTAGGCGCCTACTGGACGAGTTCAAGGCGTCGTCTGGGGTGTTTGTCTTGCCCACTCCACCTGCAACACCTTCAGCTCCATTGCCGTTGCCAGAGTGGCAGCCATTTCACACCGACGACGAAGGTGAATATGCCGAGGAGAGCGCTGGTGGCCCCACATCCCATTCTATGGGAAGTGCCACTAGCTTGCCTCAACGGGAGCCTGGCAGTGGTCGTACGGAAACGCCAGTAGACTCGGCATCAGGCCAGCGATCGAACGGCAAGGCCAAAACGAAAAAGCGCAAAAAGAAGCGCAAATGTCCAGATATGGTACTACACGACGAAGATGCTAGCAAGCATGCAGTTCAGGCGAAGCGACAGAGCGTTGCCACGTCGCCGGCACAATTACAACTCCAGGGAGCGGAACTACCGGCCAAGGCATATCAAGACAATGAAGTGCACCACCACCCCACCCCACTAAACGAAGGAGCTACCCCTGGAACTGGCTCACATTCACAACCATCCCCTCTGGACCCGACTGTAGCTCCAGCAATCGCCGCCCTCGCTACGCAGAAGTCCATCCACAAACCTGCTTCTGATATATCTGGTACACCTGTGACTACTGCACCCACATCATCAGCTGCCCCTCCAGTTTCTACTACTCCGATGACCCCAACAACCAAGTCCACGTGCTAGTAGCCTTGCTAGCTCCAATTCCGCCCGTCCTATCACTAAAACCACAGCACAACCAGCCACGCTTCCTCTAAAGGGTGCTGCCAAGACGCCTCCACGGGTCCCAGCTGCTAACCCACCCCGTCAAGTTGCCGCTGATATCGACCCATGCTCTACGGATAGCACGCCAGCTCCTCCAGTACAATCCACGACCGCTCCTTCTCCAACTGGTTCGAATCGGCCCCCACCATCTGGTCTGGCTACGTTGACACCCCAGCCAAGCCGTAAAAAGGTCAGCTTTCACGCGTCGACAAAGGCAACGCCGTCGCCCTTCCCAGTCATCCCAGTCGCCACCGCTTGTCCTGCCAACATCTCCAAGCTGCTAGCCGAGAGTCGCGCCACGAAACCGTGGCTCCAGTACACGAAACTGAGCTCGTTTTTACCTGAAAACGACCGCCGCGACCCGACCCCCCACGATGTCGCAGTTCGCACGTTTAACGCGACACTGCGCGAGTTTTGGGCTACGTCGGCGGCGTTGCTGTGGGAGTGTCGATTTAGCTGGCAGCCAGATCCAGACACGTTGAATCAAGTGGGGGACGCCGTCGTGCTATTGGTGGGCCAGTTGTGGCTGTTGATAGCCCGATCCGCCTACAACTCGGACCAAGGGAACAGGCTGGTCGAGTTTCTCAGTGGGTTCCCCCATCCAGCGTGGCCTGTGATGACAGCAACGTTCATGCCGTTGAAAGCGATGCACGCCATGTACGGGGAAGCCACCGTGGCTGCGTTTATACGACACCAAAGCCACCGGCTGTGGCCAGCCTACCCCCCATCCCACAGCTGCCCCCTCCCCCCTCCTCCAAGAAGGCATCGCCCAAAACGAGACCGACCGACCGCATTATCAGCATGGACGAGCAGCTCCAGTGGGCACTGGGCACTACATTTGCCTACGTGGCAAACCGAAAGCTGACGCCGCCGGTGGTCGCCAAGCTGGCGGACCTGGGGCTTCGAGACCCGGCGGTGGAGTTTCGGCGCATGGCAGAGGTGGCGTGGACGTTCGTCAAGCTAAAGTGCCCCTTCCCCCACGAGCCGTACCCGTTTGTGTCGGTCGTGGTCGCAGACGACCCCGTGGGATGGCAGTGGTCACACGGGCTATACCCGCCACGGACCATGTACACCAAGCGCATACCATCACTTCGCAATGCTACAACTACTACTGCTGCTGCTGCTAGTAGTAGTAGTAGTAGTACTACTACTACTACTACTCGACACGAACCACCAGCAGGAATGGACAAAGCCAGACGCTTGCTCCAAGGACTTCTGGATGACATTAGCACCGATTGTGGGACCAACCATGGTGACCATGATGACGACAGTGGTGACAACGATAGTGACAACGGTAGTGACGACAGTGGTGACGACGGTAGTGACGACAGTGGTGATGGGAGTGGTGACAACGATAGTGACGACAGTGGTGACGACAGTGGTGAAGGGAGTGAAGTAGTTCAGATCCAGGACGTGCATGCGCCATTCGTTTGTGGTCAAGACGGCGGCAGCAGACGAACCGCGATTGATGTCGCGAGTTCGTCCGACGACAGTCAAGACTAGAATACTCATGCTATTAACGACACCACGACCTACGAAGTATTACTACTACTACTACGTACTATTAATAGTAGTACTTGCTCTAATGTTACTAGTAGATAGTAGTCATCCTATCGTCACCACCTGTCCCTGTGTGATGTTTGCAACCAACCCTAAACAATAGCTCCCCCACCCACCACGATTTGGTTCGTTCAAGTCGCTCTCTGTGATGATTCCATCTTGGATATGAATATTATAACAATATATTGTGCTTTCGAGTGATATTTCGTGTGGTGTGGTGTGGTGTGGTTTCTCGTTGGAATTTAAATCGATTTGATTGGCTACTTGAGAAGAGCTCAAAATTATTAGCCAATCAAAACATTCTAAATGAAATTCAACCAATCAGATCGTTTGTAGTCGGCGCGATTCGATTGCATCCCCTCCCCAAATTTGTATATCAAATCGACAATATATTAATTACTGCATCGTAATGAATCTCGTGGATCGAAACGCACGCCACGAACACACCATGGCGATCATTCATACTATTGACGCTACGATTAATATACGTATAGGATGCCAAGAACACACACACACATATATATATAATATATATATATATATATATCAATCACTGATTTCAGAATATTTATTGGCATTTGTATTAATTAAACGAGCAGCAGCAACATGGCGGTCACAACGGCGACTCCACCACCACCACTTTGCAGCCACGAGGTCCCCATAATGGCGCCACTGGTCGCAGCATCCGGATCACCAGGTTGTTCGTCTCCATAGCAAGGGATTTCAGTCGACTTGAGCTCCGCCAGCGCCGCGAGTAAGTCGGCATGTCCCACCTGCCACGAGGACGACGTCATGAGGCCGTAGCGCGCTCTGCCGATGGTTTTGTTGCCTGGGGGCGGCCCTTCCAGCCACATTTGCGTATCTGGGTTGAGGGAAGCAAAGAAACCGCCAGCCGTGGACGTGGCTATGTACTTGATGAGCTGATCGATCACGGCTGACTGCAGCGGCTGACTCGAGCCATAGATGCCGCCAAATGAAGCAAATACCACGGGCACACTGGCTTGCTTGACCACTCCGCCAATGTTTTCATCCAGAAGGCGACTGTACAGCGCCGTGAGATCGGGCGTGGACAGCGGTGTGAATGACTGGCACTGCAGCTTTGAGTTGTCGCAAGCTAACGCGCGCTTGGTGCTGGGTACCTTGAGGCCATTTTCAATCACAACGCACTCTGTATCCTTGTCGGGGAGAATCGCATTCGAACAGTTGCTCGATGGATTGAAAAAGTACCCCAGAGGCTCCACGCCCTGGGTAAACGCTTGAGGGGAGTACACGATGTTGGTGGCTTTCTTGAGTGGCCGAGTAGTCGCGTTAGCAAAGTTCAGACCTGGCCACACCTTGTAGCTGTTGGTCTTGACCACAAAGCTGCCCTTGCTGCCGCCTACACAGTACACACACATGTACTGAATATAGTATGTGTATTTTTCTACTAGTAAACGGACATGGACAAGGAATATATAATCGACCCAACCAAATGTATCACACAAGTATTTAGCCAATCAAATTGCAGGACCGAAGTAAGTGTGTGACTTCAATTAGTGTGATACCAATCCTACCTTTTTCACATTCAACATTCAGGACAACGAAAATCGATTGAAATGGCGATTTTCAGCACAAAGTCCAAGAAAGACAATATATACTACACCCTCTGACTAGGATACACTATACTTTAGTAATAATACTAGCGAAGACGATATATTCGACAGAAAGCCACAACTGTGAACGAACGAGCCACCATCTGATCAAGGGAATTCTTTCTACAGTATGTAGGACAATATATTTTTTATAATATTTCTCCAGGGTTAGAATCCTTACCATCTGATTTCCTAACCTGAAAACCAAGGTTTGCATTGTTTGATCAGTAGTACTTACTATCAAAACAAATCTATGATCAAAACCATCGAATCTAAATGTAATGACACAGCGCCGCTACGCGACGACGCTAGTATATACTACTACGGTAGGTAGTAGGCTCGAAATAGACTAGGCATACTATTGTGAAGTCGATTTGCAATTGGAGTCGGGGCGGCTCAATCGAATGAACAGAATAGCCAAATCGACCAATCAAATCCAATTCAACATCGAAATAGTGTGTGACTGAAATTAGTGTTACATCGGACGATTTTACATACAAAAATCCATATAAACCATCGATCGATAGATTTGGCGGATAAGTTCAAGTTTTGGGTAAAACGACAGTAGTACTACATATAGTCCTGAGTAGTACCTGTGACAAACACGAGCCATTGCGGGCACAGTTCGTTGACTTTGGCGGCGATGGTCTCGGCCGCAGCTGGCCAGTCCCCAGAGGCAGCGGCCGTCGCGGGCCAGTCGACGTCTGTCATGGCGTCCTTGAGGTCGATACCCAAGACGTTCCAATATTCAGGTTTGCAGTAGTACGTGGCGAGCAGCACGGCTACCTTGTACGCCGTGGACTCTTCGACTGTTTCTTTGACCGGGTAGTACCAGTACGCGTCCTGCAAGAACTCGTTCGACAACGCGTGCAGGTCCAGGACGACTGAAATGCGGTACTTTTGAAAACTTCCGATGAAGCGCGCGAGGAGATCGGCCATTTTGGGCGTGAAGCCCTTGTCGTACAAGGCGATTTCGCGGTTCTCGCCGTGGATGTACCCCACCTTGGGCAGAAACGACGGATTGAGAAAGTTGTCTCCCATGATGGGGAGTCGCACGGTGTTGAACTTGTTGCTGGAGAGAAACTTGAGCATGTATGCGAGGGACGTGCCGTTGATGCCAGAGTCTCGTTGCACCGATTTGCCCCACAACCCGGCGGGGATGCCGTCGGTCGTCTCCATACCCTTCCACTGCACGCCCTTGATTAGAATCGGCGTCTTGATCGTTGGATTCAACGGATCTACGGCGAAAATCTGGTTGCCTTCTGTGACGTAGTTCGATTGCCGGCATTCTAGCAGGTACGTCGTGCCAAGGGTGAGTGAGATTCAGGAGTGAGGACGATGTGAGGGAGAACTACGAACTGCGAAAGGTTTTGACTTTGTCCTCGGGTGTCTGCGCGGCGGCGAGCGCCATCATCGACGCGGCGACAGCAGCGAAGACACGCATGTTCGTGGTAATTCCGAACGGCGGCGGATTTGACAATGGAACAGAGAACTCGTTTAGCGGCCCAATATATCTGCGATCGCGTCGTAAGAACGACAAAGATAATTTAATCTTGCATTGCATGTTTGTATGTGGATTTAAATGTTTTCAATAAAATTCCGACCTGTCCGAGCATCTCCTACTGTAACACACTTGATTTTGCCAAAACAAGAACATTGACAAAACACGAACCTTACAAAATGCAAGACATAGTGAGCTCATGATTTGGCAGTTTCGTTGTTGAGACGCGAAATTTTACATTCTAGTACCACATGGTACTCAAATATTGATCTCGTTTATTTTAATACTTTGGCGACCTTACCACCATAACAAATCGTGCAAGGAAGCGAGGGGGGATGGTTGCTGAAGGCTAAGAGTGCACCACCTTGGATTAAAGAGTTCAACCAAATTGTTGCAATCAGTTGAGACGAGTATTACTGCAGTAAGAAAATCCTAACATTTGGATGACAATAGATGGAATTGGGTGCAGTTGGATGGATTAGCGGTACCCCTAAAGTAATGGGTTTGTGACCAAGCCTTACGTAAGGCCGCTGCGCAAGCGCGGATCTAAGACTCTCACTTTACCGAATGATCTATCTATTCTTCTTGTCGGGCTGCGGCAGGTAGGCCATAGGCCATGCCGCTCCCCGATACCGCTACGCAATGACCTAGCATATCTCGTCATTCTAATTAGGATACAACCTAATATTAATGCTGGAATGGCGCATAAGACTTGATTGTCACGGATTTTAGAAATGAATTAAAAATATTTGGAAGTACTTATTACTGTTAATACTTCAGAAGTACTAGACAGTATTAATACATCATGTTGTGTTTAATTTCATCTTTTTAAAAATATATTTCCACAAACCTCCGGAATACTGTACATACGGTACATCGAATTGCCTGACTGTAAAGGATCCTCGATTGACACCAATCGCGCATGGAAATTTCGAGTAAAACCCACAATTTCTAAATTATACTACTACACCTTTTTTCTATTGAAATTGATTGGGTCACGCATCCAATGGATTTGCATTTGCGTCCACGTATTTGGTACGCGATCCACTGGAATCGGCACATGCAGCTCGTGTGTCCAATGGATTTGGTACATAAACCATTAAACTCGGCATCCACCCAAACAAACAACCGTCCGTCGCTTGGATTTAATGATGAGTGCAATTGAATCGGTAGAATTGATATTTTTGAACATTCTAGAGTATCTATGATCGCGCGCTCTTCCTCACTTTTTAAAATCGCGCAAAGCAGGCAAGCCATGGACGAACAAGCGCCTCAAACACCGGTAACAAGTTGACCGACCTCTCATGCTTACTGTATTGCTAGCCACTGCGGCGCACGTACAAGCGGATCCCCATGTCGGCGAAGCGCCGCATCGTGAACGCATTTGACAATGCGAAAGACTGAAAGGCAGTCGCCGTAGCTAATGGGGTCAACATCAGCACTGCTCGCAATTGGCTTCATTTGGATTCACTCACACCGAAGAAAAGAGGTAGAACATCTTTTATCTCACTCTAACAGGTCTTGGTTAGGCGGAAACCGACCTAAGGTTTTGACACCGGAGAATATCGATCTTGCGCAGAGTTGGGTCGAGTTCGATGCCCAGATCACGCTTCAAGAGATGAAAGATCGCTTGATGCTTGAGCTGGGCATCAATGTCTCAAAGACAACTCTTCATCGCGAACTGGACAAGCGCGTCTTCACCTACAAGACCGTCCACTACGAGCCACTCCAGATGAACGATCCATCC